ACTAGTTACTCCCCAACACTGTTCCCACATAGTGACCTAGATATGTGGGGGCGTGTTAGAATGAGCCGTTTTAGGGGGGTGTGGCAGAGTCTTAACTTTGATAAAGAATATCTCTTTGGTTTTGAGACTTTAGTCTTTGCAACTTCAGGGATCTTATCTATTCATGAACAGCTTGTAACACTCCAAAGAGAAAGGAAAATTTGAATTCGCATCATATGACCCCTTTAAATAATAACATATATAGAAGGTGCACAGTGTCATTCACACAAACACTAAACATCATCACAGTAACACACATGAAACTGAAATAATGCAATAAACATTCATTTAACAACATTAGGTTGTTACAACCCTAATATACAAAACTGATAAGAAAAAACTAAGAAGAAACATAGTTATTTCAACAAAAAAACATCAAATTTGAAATGTAACGCAGGGAATTCTGGGAATGTCAATTTAGGGTTATTCACTGTAAATTATATGGTCTTTTTCACTTCCAAAAACGGTATACTACCGTAAAATTAATGTCCAATACATGTAATGTCCAATACAGTTTTTCACTGTATATAGTAGGGGAATTTACCGTTAACCATTTAACAGGTTTTTACTGTAGCATTTTTAGTCTTTTACTGTTAAATTCACTGTCATTTTTTACAGTGTACATGAAAATTTTAAGCAGAAAGACTTTTTTTGTCAAATGTACTCCAATAATCTTTGTTATATTTGCAACTTTTAAAAATAAATTTTTACAGTGTAATTTTTACTATGAAAGACTAAACGTATTATTCTTTAATCATTTATTATTAGATTTATGTACCTTATTATTTATGTAATTTATTGTTAAATATATTAAATTTAAATTGGGTTGTTCTGTAAATATGTTTACATTTTTACTCTATTTTTACAGAACTATTCTGCAACCACAGCTGCCAGTTTTTTTCTGTAAAATGACAGGATTTGTTTTTTACAGTGTAGTTTTGCTTTAAAATATTTCATTAATGTTGTTCTGAACATGCTCACACACTAATGTCCGATGTGTAAGTAAATCAATCTTTAGAGTCTGTTCTTGTCTATGAATCGGTCATATGAATTAGTAAATTGGTCTTTTTTTTTATTATTTTATCAGTATCCAGGAAAAGTCTGGAAATGCATTGTTCAGAACACTGTGGCATTTCAGAAATGAATTATTAATTACTGTTTTGTGTTTGTTAAAAAGTATGTTTTTAGGTGATTTATGCAGAAAATTTATCATCAGGCATCAGAAAACAGCCATCATCAGGTCGCTTCTGATTGAAGCACACTCCTGTTTTGAGCTTATGAGCGATCAGACCACATGTGTGAAGGAACAGTTGTCTTCTGTCTCTCACTAACACTCTGACTCTCTGTCTGTAAAACCCGCTTTCATTTGATCCTCAAGTCTTCCCTAGAGCTTCTCGAATACAATAGAACAGAACAGAGGAAAGCAAAGCAGAAAATGGAAAATGTGCATACAGAAATATCTCTCCTCAAGTCTTGTCTCCTGGCTTTTCTTCACCTCATACTCATTCGTTTTCTACAAAATAGTGAGTTTCAACTCTTTTCTGTGGTTTTATTCATGGCAAACTCCTTTTCAGTGTTAACCCAATGTTAATTCAGTTGAGCTTTTATTGGCATTTCACACTGGCTTCAAGCACAGCTCATTAATTCAGAAATATAATGTAGAGTTTGTTTTAAGTTAGACATGTGTCTCTCTGTGTGTGTGTGTGTGTGTGTGTGTGTGTAACCTTTATCCTCTGTCCGAGGCTCTCCAGTGAGGTGATGTCCAGTCCTTCTTTGCAGGCCTGTAGGCAGGAGATTGTCTTCTGGCTTGCAATCTTCCCAGATCGTATCGTCAGTCCAGACAAACTGCCTCGGAAATACTGCGTAAACTTTACTTTAGAGACCTCACCACCTGCACACAAACACGTGATATATTTTTCCTGTGAAGTATACTTATAATGTTTCTTGCACCAAAACCAGTCAAAATGTAGTTTTTCATTACCATTGTTTACCCTCTGTTTGACTAATATAATAATATTGTGCACATAAGTTTACATACCCCTTGCAGAATATCCAAAATGGGATCATGAAAATTGCTTGTTATTTTTTATTTAGTACTGTCTTGAATAAGCTATTTCACATAACAAATATTGATATATACTCCACAAGACAAAATAACTGAATTTATAAAAATGACCCCGTTCAAAAGTTTACATACCCTCAAATCTTAATACTGTGTGTCATTTCCTGGATGATCCACGACTGTTTTTATGTTTTGTGATAGTTGCTCATGATTCCCTTGTTTGTCCTGAACAGTTAAACTGCCTGCTGTTCTTCTGAAAAATCCTCCAGCTCCAGCCAGGTGTAAACTTTTTTGAATTGGATGATCAGGGTAAATTGTGCTTATTGTGTCTTCTGGGAAACATGTATGTATTTATGTAGCTTCAGTGTGCAGTACTAAATGAAAAAAATATGATCTTTAATCAAAATAAGAAAAATGTACACATCATCATCCTGTTCAAAAGTTTACACCCCCCGACTCTTAATGCATCGTGTTGCCTTCTTGCGAATCAGTAAATGTTTTCACATTTTGTAATTGTTTTGTGTGAGCCCCTCAATTGACCTCAGAGTGAAAAGATGGATCTCAAAAATATACAGTCACTGCTGGATGCAGAAGATGCTGGAAGATGCTGGAAAACCAAAAGTATGTGCAGGAGCTGGAGGATTTTTCAGAAGAACAGCAGGCAGTTTAACTGTTCAGGACAAAAAAAGGGACTCATGAGCAACTATCACAAAACATAAAAACAGTCGTGGATCATCCAGGAAATGACACACAGTATTAAGATTTAAGGGTATGTAAACTTTTGAACGGGGCCATTTTTATAAATTCAGTTATTATTTTGTCTTGTGGAGTAAATATAAATATCTGTTATGTGAAATAGCTTATTCAAGACAGTACTAAATAAAAAATAACATGCAGTTTTCATGATCCCTCTTATTTTGTGAAAATTATTAACATTTTGCATATTCTGCAAACTTATGTGCACAACTGTAAATAGAATAAATAGGCTGTTTTGGGTCCGTTTTTTTCTTTTTAAGAAATTATTACTTTTTATTCAGCATTAAATTGATCAAAAGTGACAGTACAAATTAAACTGATCAAAAGTGGACAGTACAAATTTATAATGTTACAAAAGATTTCTATTTCAAATAAATGCTGTTCTTTTGAAATTTCTTTTCATCAGAGAATCCTGAAAAAAAATGTATTGCAGTTTCCGCAAAAAATAAAGCAAAACAACTTCAACAGTGATAGTAAAAAAATTATTCTTGAGCAGCAAATCAGCATATTAGAATGATTTCTAAAGGTTCATGTGACACTGAAGAATGGAGTAATGATGCTGAAAATTCAGCTTTGATCACAGGAATCAATTACATTTTAAAATATACTCACATAAGAATATTTCAAAATATTTCTGTTTTTACTGTATTTTTGATCAAATAAATGCAGACTTGGTGAGCAGAAGAGACTTTCAAAAACATTAAAAATCTAAAAAATCAATCCTGAACCAGTTTTATATGTAAATGAGCTTATAGTTGTGATGTCAGTAGTGTGATGGTTTCTGATTGGACCATTTTTGCTGCATAAATGGTCAAGGGAGACTGGGGAGGGAGTTTTTGAATGTTTAAGTAGACCTATATTACATATTATATTGAACTGGTTAATTCTAATAGAGCAATACAAATCCTTTTCTAAATTATTTTCTCAAGGCATGTCTGAATTAAATATTTGGTTGTTTTAAAGAATCAAAATAGCATCCGATAAAGTGGTCGCAAAAAGTTAAGTAATTCATAAAGGTCTATATTTTAATAAAAAAAAAAAAATACATTTGTAGAATGAAATAAGTGCTGTAATCATTAAATATTCACTTGGGTATCTTTAAAGCTTTCTAATTTTGTTCTTGATCATTAGACATGCCCTGGAAGCCTGAAAGCTGTTACCTTTGGAGGCACCTTCAACCAAAAACACAGCCTGTTCAGTCATTGACTGACTGGACAGCTGCCTCTAGTTTCAGACGCAGCCACGGTTACACATCACTCTCACACACACACACACACACACACACACACACACACACACACACACCATAAATTTCAGCTTCAGTTGAGCTAGATAGAGGTCTTTAGAAGCTGCATTGAAATGAAGCAATCACATGATTAAACTTAATGATGACCTAAGTCAGCGATAATGAGCAATTACCTGCATCTATCTGCTCTGTATGAGATGTGTGTGTGTGTGTAATGAAGCCTCTCTGAGTGTGTTTGTGATCAGGTATCTGTGAGATGACACTTTGAGCCTCGGGCGATGGCATGCTGATGTGTATCAGGCTGCTGTGTGTGTGTGTGTGTTTACATAGCTATAGATTGGGGACTAAACTGTCACAGCAACATTGGTTGAGAGAGTTCGTCCTGGCCAGGATTCTCTAACAAACAGATCAATGTGTTGATAGAAAATAATGAAATGGAGATTTGCACAGACATTCAGCCTGAACCCATAGGCTTGTGTTTATTTTTTATTTTTTTGGTCAAGAGTTTCATACAGATCGATAAAAAGTCTACCTTTGTGTTCCACTGATAAAATAACAGAATATAAATAAATACATAATTGTCTTTTGGATTAACTATCTGTTAAATACACACACATGTGTGGTAAAAGCATTGTTATTTTAGAATTATCTATATAATATTATAGTATTTATTAATAATTTGAATTAGCTTTTATATTTTCTTAATTCTCTTAGAATATTTCTTAATATTTATTATCTATATCTTTTATATCTTATCTTAATTTTAGTTTGATTTAGTGTTTTTTTATGTGTTTTTGTTATTTTTTATTTTTGTATATTTCTATTTAGTTTAAATTCATTTTACATTTTTATTTAGTTTTAGTAATTTTACTACTTCAACTTCAACTTATTTTCAGTTAGTTGCCAAAGTTTTGTAAGTTTATTTTTGAATCTAATATATATACTTTATATTATTTAAAAAAAATGTTAATTAATGAAAATGATAACTGAAATCATAACAGCACTGGTTAACAAAGGCTCTTTGCAGCATTATTATAGTTAACTAAAAATAAAACCATAAAAAAACATTTTCATTGCTTGAAATAAAATAAACTAAGTGAGAGAAAATAAAATATATTAAAAAAACTTAATTAACTTGATGTACTATAAAATGACTAAAAACTATATAGACATAAAAGACAAAAACGACTAAAAATTACAAAAACACAATTACTAGACCCTATGATTTAAATGATAATGAAAATGGAAAATATAAAAACATTCAAAATATTAATATAACAGAATCTTGATACACTGGCTCTTTGAAGAAAAACATTCATATTGACTGATTACAGTGTTAAAAATATTGTTTATCACATTGAATCAATAATCAGTTCATACAAAGTGGTGTAAACTGAATCGAACCCAATCGTGAGAAATCATTAAACTCTTCAGGCTCCACAAATCTTAAAAAGAGCAAATGTCCAGTCAGCTCTCATTATATCTTCTTCCCATGCACATACACAAAATGATCTTTTTATTATCTCTCTCACTCTTTATTGCTTTCATTCCGAAACAAAGAAGCTCAGAGACACAAAGAGAGAGCATAGGCAGGTCAGGAGGCCAACTCATTTGTGTTTCTGAGCTGCGCTCTGATTTCTGAAGAGAGAAATACAGATGAAAAGAATGAAGAAGTGAAACAGGGATTGCAAAAGAAAGAATGGATAGTGCAAAGATGACGTGTTTATTGAAGAGATGTTTGTTCATTATGGATTTACATGCTGTGAAATTTTACATTTCTATTTTCAAGTCATCCAATTCCTCGCACCTTGCCAGCAGGCTCCTACAGTGAGCTGCACGTCGATCTGAGAGGAGTGGATGGGCCAGTCATCTGTCACCAGGTAAGGGTCATAGGTCACGCCGTCCACATATAGAGTCACCACTGGGAAATCAACGCTGATGACGTAATAATGCCACTCCTTATCACAGATCTGAGACACAGAGAGAGAATTTCACAATATTTCTGCTTTCTGTTTACATTTTTGCTTGAGAGTGTTATTTTAGTATAATTTGTATACCGTTTTAGTTTTTATTATTATTAATTGTAGTTATTGTTATTGTTATTAATTTGAGTTAATTTTGTTATGTGCTTTTGTCATTTTTATTAGTTTTTGTTCTTTTTTTAAATATATTCAGGTTTAATTTATGGTCACATGAAATGCAGGTAAACAAAATATTTCACATTTTGTGTTTCAAGTTTTTATTTTGTTTTTATTTGAAAATAATCACATTTTTTATGATTACTAAAAAAATACCCCATATTACTAATTTTAAATTTTTATGATTTAATTATTTAATGTTTTATAACAAGAATCCTGTATAAAACTAAACAAGTTAGGTAAAAAAAAAAGTAATCTAAAAGTAACCCAAAAGTAATCAGAATACATTATGTATCTATGCATACACACACACACACACACACACACACACACACACACAGTTTTGTTTACAGATTCTTATTTTTAAGTTTTAGTGATTTTATATGCTTTTATGTAATCTTAGTACTTGACCTTAAACATACTTTATTTTATTTCAGTTAAGTTGCAAAGGCAACATTTCTAATGTTCATTTAAGTTGTGTACGTTTTTAATCTAATATTTGTATTTTATTTCAGCTTTACTTCAATGAAAGAAAATGATTTTTAATAGTTTTAGTTAACTACAACACAGCTTTGTTCAAATCACTAACCATAACTATGATCAGTAGTACTTATAGAGATGCTTGCCTTGGCAAACAAATAGACAGGTCGGTTTAAATGTAAAGTCTCTGGAAGGCGTCTTTGCGTGTGTTTGAGGATGAAGGAAATCTCTGTCTGTGTTTAGCCCGTTTGGACCGCTGCCAGTCAAAAGCACACGGCAGCAGACAGTTTCTGCTCGCTCTGTCACACACAGTGTGTGTTTGTGTGTCTGGCAGGCGGTCTGGGTCGAAGAGTCTAGTGGAACTGATTGTTACACCCTCACATGAAACCATCAGACATTTCTCATCTTCCCTACATCTTTCCTCCTGCACCTGAAATCTCACTATCAGTCTCACTTCTTCTCACTGTCTCACTCTCTCCTACCAAATTGAAGCTCCCACTCTGCCCCATGTCCTCCTTTTCTCCTTTCTCACAGTGGCCACAATTTCTCTGTACAGCTCCCATTTCAGATTGAGATCTGCAGAAGGACATAGATGAGAATATAAAGAAAGGAAACCAACACAAAATATGTCCAGGTCATATATTATATTATATATATACATATATAGAAATTTTAATAGATTATTTATAAAATATGATATGGACATATTTTGTGAGATTCAGCTCATTCTCTGCAGGTGTCCAGGTCAAAATATTTCCATATATATATATATAAAATGTTTTGTGATATTCAACTGTCTCTCTTTAGAAGTAAATATAATTATATTTGATTTCATAACTATTAAACACACCTAAGTTCTCATTATTGTAATTTGTTTTAATGTTTTTGTAATTGTTATTAATATTGCTTGCAGTTTTCTTGCCTGGCAAATGATAAAATGGATGAAAAAATCCAACCATATAGCAAACTAGCAAAATGCCCTAGCAATTAATGAATTAATAGAATTAATTTAAAAATGTAAGATAGATAGATAGATACTTTTTTTTTTTTTTACAAATTTAATATCAAATTATGACAAATACTACCATTATATATACACTTTGCTATTGAAATACACTTAATAATAATAAAATAATGAATAATAAATAATTCTGGCTGTAATAAATAAATAATAAAAATAATGTCAAATTCATCATATATTTTTAGCATTGCAGTAATTATGAAATATGAAAATATCATACTGCAAAAATATTGATTGCCAAAAACAGGCTTCATTTTCTGTGAGATTCAGCCAGAGCGAGTGTTATTTTTCTGTGTTTTTCGATTCCTTCTCTCTGTGCACACAGTTCATCTCTCTGTGCTCTTATTGTCAATAAATTGATTTATTTTTCTTTAAATTTCACTTTTATACTCTATTGGTATTCGTCTCGTATTCCATTCAGTTTTTTCAGCCTCTCTTTTCTATCTCTGGTGTGTCTCTGGGCAGGCATTGATTTTCTACAGAGATGTGTGTGTGTGTGTGTGTGTGTGTGTGTGTGTGAATGTGAAAATGGCTGTGCATAGCAGTTATGGTTCATGCAATCCTGTGAATCCAGATTTAGTCATTTAATGACTGTTATATTACATCTAGCATACATTACTGTGGTTTTCATACAGAAAACAGGTACGTTCTTAGAACTCGTCCATATTGTGGATGTCCTCACAATGTGTCCACGCGATCCCTGGAGAGCAGAGTGCCTGACTGTGATGTTTTCTCTGTGTGTGTTCAGTAAACGCACAGCGCTGAATCGATAGAGGTGGTAAAAGACTTACAGCCACACTAAGCCAAAGTCCACTTAATGGCAAGACAATTTATCAAAGAGAGAGTGAGTGAGCGAGAGAGGTAGAGAGAAACCATTGTTTCAGTTGCTCAAATGCTGTAAGTACACTGAGCACTTTAACAGTTACTGCTGTGCTATTGTGTGTCTCACATCAGTGTGAATCGATTTGTCTTTTTCTGTCATTTTGCCCCTATTACAGCAACTGTCCATTACCTGTTTGCCATCCTTCAAGAAAGTACAATTTCAAAGAGTTAAAAGTATTTCTGAGTAGTGGTCAGTTGATATATCGGCCGGTATGTGGCATTTTTTAAATATCTGCATCGACTAATAAGTTTTGCAGTTTGGCCGATGTGATTTGATGGCGCTGAGAGCGGCATTCTCCCGCTTCATTGTTTGTTGTCACCATTTAACAGTTCTGTCTAATACAGATAGAAGTCTGTATATATATATATATATATATATATATATAGAGATATAGCGACAGTTATCAGTTGCTGGTGTGGATGCAAATATAGTTATCATTGTATTTATAGTTATCTTTATCGCTCTTGGTGTGAACGGGCCTTAACAATAAATAAAAAATACAAATAAAAAATACAGCCTGTAAATCAGAGGTTCGAGATTGAACATGAGGATAAATTTATGTGCGTATGAACCTGTTGTGAATCCGGTGGAAATTTTTCTGCATGCATAAATATACAAATTGTACAAGGCTATTTTATTTAATTTAATTTTGTTTTATTTTATTTTGCAACAAATGCATAAAGCACACGGAGGAAAAATTATATTAGTGAAGTGCAGTGAAACACTGGAATTGGCATTTATGTTACTGAGCCAACACTCCGTCCAACAAAACTTCACATTTGCATTAATATTCATCTTTTAATATCCATTTGCATAATGGAAACACAACACCATCCACTTACTAATTAAATTCGAATTTAATTTAATTAGATCTCGTTCTTCTGTGGGTAAAGGAAAGAAAAAGCCTTTAGGAAAGATAAGAAAAGATCGCTCATGTTCTTTGAAGTGTCTGAGATGTGCAAAGACCAAAATGTTTCTCCCTCAGGCCAGTGGACCCTCAACCCCATATATTTTATGTAACGCATTTATGTATTCATGAAACTACATTATGAAATTAATTTTAAGGTGGGGTGAAGTTCTTCAAGAGCTCGTTCTCCACTGGGGAAAAGGCTCTTTGATGCTTAAAATCTTCGTAGAATCTTTAAACTATCTTTGCCTCTTCTAATGCTGAGCATGTAGGTAGCAAATGTACAGTTATGGTAATGAAGATTTCAAAGGTACAGACCCAAATGAAAAATGAATGCAACTGCACTGCTTCAAATCCATGCTATCCATATAGGTGGCACTAAAATGGCTCTTCAGTGGTTTGGATGCTCTGATGTTTAAGTTGAGCTTTCGTCGGTTTGTTTGTTTTGGCCAGCAGAACTTTTGCTCTTTGCAATCCTGTCGGAGGAGTTTGTGTTTTAAAGCCCCCCCTGCCATTTTTCTGATAGGGTTGGCAGGGACGTTCATGCAGCACACTGTTAGTTTTGTGTTGTGCTGCATTTGTGTGTTTGTTCTCTAAGATAATTAAGTCTTCCCGCGGCTCTGTTCTCTGACACAGCAGTGAGGAGAATTCACTGCTAAACAAACACTCTCTTAATGACCGCACTGTTTTCTCTCCCTTTCTTTATTCTAAGGCTTTATCTTTACCCTAAAAAGTGGATATTTGCATAATTATATTTTTGATGGACTAACTCAAGTATTGTTGCATGTATGAGATGAAGGATTCGATTAACCTGCAGCAGACCTGTGAATCTAAACACCACGAATGACACAACAGCACATTACGTTTCATAAACAGTGTCATAAAGAGGAAATTAATTACTAATATTTGTTGGATGGTGGCTGTTGTTGTGCTTAAAGTAAAGAAAGTTTTGTGAAGAAGTTTCTTCTGTCATTAAAATGAGGGAGCAAGAACGAGGGAGAAAAAACGAGCACTTAAAGACACTTTTGTCGTTTACTGCCTGGTTAAACTGGGTGGTACTGGGCAAGTAATTAGTGAATATTTATCTATATCTATCTATCTATCTATCTATCTGTCTGTATGTCTGTCTGGTCCATTCATCGTGCTATCGTGCTGTCTGTCTGTCTGTCTGTCTGTCTGTCCGTCCGTCCGTCCGTCCATTCATCATGCTATCGTGCTGTCTGTCTGTCTGTCTGTCCGTCCGTCCGTCCGTCCGTCCATTCATCGTGCTATCGTGCTGTCTGTCTGTCTGTCTGTCCGTCCGTCCGTCCATTCTTCGTGCT